TATGAAAGTCTCGCTACAGTGTAGACAATCCCAACTACCACTAAAAAAACTAAAACTAAAATGCACTTTAGCAGCATAAGGATTTCGCGACCAATCCCAACTAAAACAGACAGATCATGCGTTTGTTCAACATCTATGGGCTTCTTCCATGAGAATCATCGCCTCATCGGCCCACAGAGTCACTTTGTGCAAAAGAGTTTTGCAAGTGTTCAACATACTCTTCCTCCCAGTACCAGCCTGAACATCCAGTGCCATCCCACTAAAATTAAAACAAAAAATTAGAACTTTAATCACAGTCATCATGAAAATAAGTATAAATTAACCATAATCATCAAATGCGACAAAATAACTCACATTGCGATCCGGACACTTGTAGAAGATATGGCCCTTGTTGGGACACTCCTTCATCACCCGGTACTCTATCACAATCTTCTTCTCACACTTGCCGCATGCAATGAGAGGGAGGTCCGACCTCAGTCGCTTTGAAACCCGATGAGAGGCCGAGGACCTGGAAGCGGTTGTCATCTACTCTCTATACTCATTTTTAATATAATATAAATTTCTCATTTTATAAACAAATAAAATTAAAAAAAACTCAAAAATTCTCTATATCCTCTAAACCATGAAGTGTGCTATGCATGCTAGAAATGAAAGCTGAATACTAGTTTTGAATAACTACTTTAACCTTCCTTCATCCAAATATACAAAATTTAAAGTGATTTTGAGCTTAAATGGCTTACAAATAAAAAAAATCCACCATAAAAAACCACATATATCTAGTCCACAAAATGAGATATGCTACTGATGAAACATGAGAGTATAAAGTTGATAACCTTTACAACCGAAGAATCGATGGAGAAATCGAAGAAAATCTTGTGATTACCGGCGATGAGGAAGAAGAGAGGCCGACAATGAAGCAAGAACACTGAGGTCGAAGTGGCTCAGGCTCGGGGAGGAAGAAGGGGTATATAGGAGGGGACCTTTAGTCCCGGTTGGAGACAGAAACCGGGACTAAAGGTCCCTTTCTAGTCCCGGACGGAGCCTCCAGCCGGGAGTAGACTTTTACTCCTAGTTGGAGGGACCAACCGAGAGTAAAAGTTAACCTTTAGTCCCGGTTGGTAGATTCAACCGGGACTAAAGGTCCCCTGCAGCAAAAACATGTCGCAGTAGCCGTTAGGCATGGACCTTTAGTCCCGGTTAGAGCTACAAACCGGTACTAAAGGTATCTCTAGTTCTGAACGCGAAAAATACTATGACTAAAGCCAAATTTCAAAGTGGATCAAAAAGCCGTTTCTCTACTGGTGGGTCTTTGGAATGACTGCCCTTGGCTTGATGTCATAGCACGAATTAAAGAAGAGAGATAAATGAAGACGATAAAGGATTCAAAGCTCTGTATTGTTTCTTCCTCTCTGACCCCTAGCTCCTGATCCTCTAATTGATAATCTGCTAAAGGAGAGAGAGAGAGAGAGGGACGCCTTGTAGGAGAGTGGGATGTAAGACTTTCCTCAGCGCTGGGCCGAGCTATGTGAAGCGTGGCAATCAATAATTAGAGTACACCCAAACCACTGCATGCACACTGTTCGCTCATTCAAAAAGCTCTCTCATGATCCTATACTGACCACACTGTTCGCTCATTCAAAAAGCTCTCTCATGATCCTATACTGACGGAGGCCGCCTCGTCATTGTACCCTTGGCCCTTGCAGGAATCCATCAACAGAAACATTATCTGAGATGAACAGCACTGCACCCGGACACTTATCATCTCGCTCTCCGACCCCACTGCACCGGCGGATCACGTCGGGACACGTCGCTTCTTCTCCCCGGGGCTGTAGGGCGCTACTGCCACCCACGAATCAAGCTCGGCGGATCTGCCGCGCTCAACCAACTCAAAAGGCCCGGGGGGATAAAAAGTTCAGAAACACGATGCAGAAAAACCAGACCGGGAAAGGTGGGGGACGAGGACGATGAACAGCTCTTAGCCAACGTTGTTCGCTCCCTCCCCGCTCGTTTCGTATCGCCGCGTGGGGCCCCGGCCCGCTGCCCTGTCCTTCCCCCTATATATACGAGCCATGAAGCCTTCGTTCGCCACATGCACTCGAGCTCCAGCAGTGAGTGACCAGTGTGGTAGAGCTTCGGGCCGGCTACGGGTACATTGCTCTGCTTCTTGGCAATGGTCGTCCTCGCGAAGCCGCCGCCGGCGCTCGACCAAATCTCCCTGCTTCGATCCCCGCAGCCCGGGGACGCCGCGTCCTTCTTCGGCGTGCCGGCCGTCGACCTGTCCAGCCCCGGCGCGGCTCTGGCCGTGGTGGACGCGTGCGAGCGGTTCGGCTTCTTCAAGGTCGTCAACCACGGCGTGCCAACGGGCGTCGTGGACCGGCTGGAGGCCGAGGCCGTCAGGTTCTTCGCGTCGCCGCAGGCGGAGAAGGACGCGTGCGGCCCCGCCAACCCGCTCGGGTACGGGAACAAGCGCATCGGGCGCAATGGCGACATGGGGTGGCTCGAGTACCTCCTCCTCGCCCTCGACGCCGGCGGCCACGCCAGCTCGGTGTCCAAGGCCTCCCCTGTCCCGTCATCCTCGCTGCGGTGCGGTAACCAATCAATCAGCAGACAACTAGTGTCAGTGGATGGTGCGTTTCTAACGATGGCTAGGTACTGTGTGTCGTCGCGCGCGTGCATGCAGGGACGCGGTAAACCAGTACGTCACCGCCGTGCGGGGCGTGGCGACGTCGGTGCTGGAGAAGGTGGCGGAGGTGCTCGGCGTGGCGCCGAGGGACGCGCTGAGCGGCATGGTGACGGACGCGGCGAGCGACCAGGTGTTCCGGATCAACCACTACCCGGCGTGCCCGCTGCTGCAGCGCCTGCCGGACGCGTGCGGCGTCACCGGCTTCGGCGAGCACACGGACCCGCAGCTGGTGTCCGTGCTGCGCTCCAACGGCACGGCCGGCCTGCAGGTCGCGCTCCACGACGACGGGCGGTGGGTGCCCGTGCCGCCCGACCGCGACGCCTTCTTTGTCATCGTCGGCGACTCGCTGCAGGTAACCGTAGTACCTCATGGCATGCATGGGTGGGTCATCGTCGTACGCAACGCACGCACGCCGGGCGCAGGCAATGGATTGACCGATGCATGTGTACGTGGTGCGACAGGCGCTGACGAATGGGAGGCTGAAAAGTGTGCGGCACCGGGTGGTGGCCAACAGCCTGAAGCCGCGGGTGTCCATGATCTACTTCGCGGGACCGGCGCCGGGGCAGCGAATGGCGCCATTGCCGCAGCTGCTGGGGCACGGCGAGCAGAGCCTGTACAGGGACTTCACATGGGGCGACTACAAGAAGGCTGCCTACCGATCGCGCCTCGGAGACAACCGCCTGGACCCCTTCCGCATCCAGTGATAGTCACCCACACCGCTGTCGAGAGATGGTTGGTTCGTGCACGCATATGCTTCTGCCATCGACCCCAACAGCTCTGCTCGATCGGGCTCTAGCCGGTGCATGCCCCCGCCCCCCGGAGATCACTGGAGGCCACCAGGAGCTAGCACTGATTGCTTCAGGGACCAGGAAGAAGGGCTAGCTGGACGTACGGCTTGCTATGTAGGAGTAGGTGGGTAGGGTTGGATACGGCCATACGGGGACAGGTGTGCTCTGTTCTGTTGGATTCTTCTTCCTCTTCCATGCCTTGTGCCAAAGTGCACAGTAATTGTGGTACTGGTTTTTTTGGGGAAATAGTAATTGTGGTACTAGGCTACTAGCTAGAGAGAGCTTTGTTGTATTGGCTCTGGGCTTGATGCTGTGTTAATGTTAAGAGTGCTTTCTATATATGGTATGTGATCTTTTCACTGTTTCTTGTACTGACGTAATGAATGTCTGAATTGAGGAATGGATGGGGAGTACTACGGTTGGTTTGGGGCAAATTTAGTAATAGAGGCAGAGAGCTATCCAAATATAGCAATGGCGCATGTTATCTGCCCGAATATAGCAAGGGCGGAGGATTTGTTTGCCCATCTTTGTTCAAGCGTTCTTGTGTTCAGTCCCTTTTTGTGTTTCCATTTATAGTTGTCTGCCCATGTATGATTCAGTGCACAGATGGCCTTCTTCATTTTAGGTCGGCTCCTTCTCCCAATCACTATGGATTTGTTTGGTTTGCGGTGCATAACCTCTTATCTAGGCCCCCGTGGTGTAGTCCATCCCTATTTGGTTACCTGTATAGGCTCATATGCAGGCTGACAGGGGCGGCTGTAGCAGGCAGCAGTGAGCGGGGCGGCGGCGTGCGCGGTGTGGAGGAGGCGGCGCCTGAGGAAGAGAAAAGAATAAAAGAGTTTAACCATAAACTTGTTTGTCTTTCATTGATAATTCTCCCTCATATATATATATAAGGGGTTTACAATATGCTAATGAGCCTGGTCTCAACTGGGCCTTGACCCTTCTCTACTTACTATAATCAAATTCTATCACAGCTGGGCCTTGACCCCCTCCCTATTTAATTATTTTATTAGCCACTTTGGCGTCGTCTCCTACTATACGTCTTACCGTCGACCATGACAGGTTTAGAACCATTTGTGATAATGCTAACTTCTTCAGATTAATAGATAATAATCTGTTGGCTAGAGCTAACCGACTTGCAGTTTGCTGAAACAAACAAACACCGTGTGATTATCTTTATTACAGCATACATTACGAGCTTTGATTGAACTTAGAAAGCACAGGACCACTCAGGCACTCAGCAATGTTCTTCGTCTCATAATTTATTAATTTAGTAGTAAAACTGAAATCGGCAATCAGTAAGCCGTAACACACACGATGACACGACAGACACAACACGGAGCTTATTTTGGGTTTATATCATCTTGGCTAATATTAATACTTGTATACATACCTTAGTAATAAGACAACATAAAATAGTCCAGTAAATTAACTTCAACCTGTAAATCTTTAGATACGATGTTATCCTTGGAAAGCCAGAAGCGGAATAGCGGAGAACAGAACACAAGAGCAAACTGAATTCGACCTCACTTCTGCGCCTTCTTCTTCCACAGGTCGCTGAGCGCCCGCATGGCGCCGCCAGCCTTGCGCTTGCCACTGGCTCCGTCTTCGTCGTCGTCCTTGGCCACCGCCTTGCTGTCACTCCCACCACCACCACCGGCGCAGGCCGAGCCAGACCAGTGGCGCCGTTTGTCGTACCCGCCGTTGTCCACGGCGCCGCCGCTGCCTGCTAGCACCGCGGCAGCCTCCTCGGCCGCCTTGCGCCACTGCTCGCTCTGCACGCGCGAGCGCTGCGCCTCGGCCTCCAGCGCGTCCCGGGCGTGCTCCGAAGCCCGCAGCCGCTCGGCGAGCCGGGCCTCCCGCGCCGCGCTCTCCCTCAGCGCGTGCTCGGTCTCCCTCGCCCTCGCCGCCGTCGACTTCGCGGCCTCGGCGGCGTCTTCGGCCATCTTGGTGAGGTCGGCGTTGTCGGCTTCGAGAGCCGCGATCTCCGCGTCTTTGACCAGCAGATTCGCCGTTAGCTTGTCGACTAGCTCGTTGCTCGCCATCAGCGCCGCCTTCAGCTCGTCGAGCTCCGTGCTCTTGGCCATCACTTTGGCCCTCAGATCGTCAACCTCCGTGTCTATCACCATCAGCTTCGCCCTGAGCTCGTAGACCTCCATGTCCTTCGCCATCAGCTTCGCCCTCAGCATCTCGACCTCCGGGCCTACCTTCTTGTTGTTGTTGCCATCGTCGTCATCGTCAACGACATTGCTCGCCTCCTCCCCATCACTAGTCTTGTTGCCCTCCTCGAACACCGGGCCCTCGTTGTTCACCGACTCTCTCGGCGCTACCGCCACGTAGCTTTTCTCCTCGTCGTCACGCTCCTCGACACCAGCAGAAGCTTTGGGTGCTGACGACGCTAGCTCCTTGCCGCCATCGTGCTCGACCGGCCCCGTACCCGCGAGATCGTCCTTCTTCTTTGCGGCCAAGCGCTTCTTGGCCTCCACGAGCGCTGCCCGCGCGTCCTTCCTGGCCTTCTCGGCCGCCGCGAGCTGCTCCCGCATCCCCTGGAGCTGGCCGTGGGCCCTCTCCAGCTTCGCCTCCAGGTCCGCCACCCGCGTCCCCGCGCCGGCACCACCACCACTAGCAGTGGCGGGCTTCTTCTGCAAAAATCCGCGGCCACAGCACAAAACAAACGCAACGTCAGTCATTGGCATGCACGGTCCTGTGTTTGTATCGTTCATGTGCATATGTGATCACAAGAACATCCTTGCCTCCTGCAACGGGCTGCGCGGCGCCGCCGTCACCCGCACGCCGAGAGCGCGGCGCGGCGTGCCGCCGCTTGCCTCCGTGCCCGCCGCCGCCGCCGGCTTCAGGCGCTGTGCTGGACGCTGCGGCAGCTCGGACACGGCCCTGAATCAAAGATGTTGCGATCGAGTTCGCCTCCAGATATTCAGAGCAGGAAAAACTTGGATAGGATCATAGTAGGATCGGAGTCGGTGCAAATTTGGTCGAGAATGGTGCCCAATACCTGGGCCTGGACATGCGACTGTCCGAGTCCTCGAACTTGCTGCTCTTCTTGGCATTGGCCGTGTGTCCTAGCATCATCATAACAAGAGCTAGCGCTACGGGTTCTTGAGAGGTGAGTTGAGACACACCGTCGCCAACTTCAAATCTGGAATTATATCGTTGAATGAACCGAGCCAACGCTGAGGACGTTTGGTTGGTTGGTACTTCTCGATGTTAAATGCGGATGCGGTACTGATTGCAAACTTGGAACTGATTATCATAATATGGCTGCATCTTAGCCAGCTGAAGAAGCAGAGATTAGGTTGTTAGTATTTTCTTTCTCATTTCCTTTGTGCTAATAAAGTTCATGCTAAGATCTGAGCTTCTGCTGGCACACAAAACTGTGTGTCCGAGTGATATATCTCACCTGGATGATGCGAGGTGTCACCAGCACGTCCTGGACTGCACGGACGTTTATTAGCTTCTAAGTTTATGCAGTTTGCGGCTTGCGCCGGCGTTCACGGGTACGGCGGCGGGAATTAAGGTTAGAACCCATGGCTTCGTCGGAGAAGAAGAGCTGCACGGCCGGCCGGACGGACGCTCCGGTTTGTCCCTCTTCCAAGCTAGCTATACACCACCTAGTGAGGTGATCTCATCTCCAAGCTAAGCAATCATGTGTGACGTTGACGGGCTGGTTCCAGTCACGTTGCAGTGTAGACGTTTACGCCGTTGCGGTTGCGGCGGCTTCACAAGGAGGTTTGATCGAATGGGCTTTGGTTGGCGCTTTGCGGTCTAACTCCATTCATACGTACTGTAATGTACAACTAACGGACCGCCCACAGTAAAACTGGGCCGTAGTCTTCTGGCTCATGCGGGAGAGGGCGCCAGATGGCAAAGCTCTACGCCCAGCCCAAGGCCCAGGCTATCTTGTGAAGTCCCTAGCACACGACGAAATTGTAAGGTGTGTTTTGTTCACGGGAGAAGGTGCAACAATCCCATTTTGATATTGTTTGGTTGTGAGCACGTATGAGGTGTGAACGCACGTACGCCATAATTTTGTACGTATTTGGGTTTTCGCTGATTAATGGACATAAATGCATGTTACTTGCGTGTGTTTTGCGGTGGTTATATTTACATTAGCATCTCCAAGAGATTAGCCAAAAAAAATTAGCTAAATTTAGTGATTTATCTGTTTTCTAAAATAAATCTTACGCTAACAAACTAGGCTAATCCAACAGGTTATCTAAAATTGGCACTCTCTATATTCAAACTTGCCATGCGGAGGCATGTGGTGTGTGCGTCCGAGCGCAAACGGGGATGCAGATGCTAACCAAGTTTAACTTTAGAAAATGATTTGGCTAATCTCTTGGAGATGTTCAGTCACTTTGTCACCAACATGTTTTCTCGACGCCGCGTCACAGCTAAAATTTAGCTTATGTTGATTTATTGTGAGAGAAAAACATTGTTCATTCACTGAAAAGTACTGCTGAAGTAGTTTAAGCGAACACGGCCAAGTGCAAATTTGGTGCTATGAGGCACAAGCACTTGATGTAGAGTGTATTAAAGCTTTTTTCTTTGGTCGTATTATTAAGGGTTCCAAGACATGCAACTTGATGGAGTTGAGTTGAGAGCATTTGGATATGCGCAAGTGTACAATCTCACTAAGTCAAGGATCTCAAAAAAATTGAATTAGACGAGATTGAAACTAATCTGGCAGATCATCCATAGTGACACTGCAGAGTCAACTTTTGACTTGTATGATTGAAACTGTGTCGATGCAGAAATATAATCATCCATAGTGACACACGGCGAGTCAACTTTTGACTTAACTCCCCAAAGAATTGAGTGTGTCGATGCGAAAATAATTATTCCGGGTGATTGTTGACAGAGAAAACGCTGCTCGGAAGATCTACTTAACTCCAATGAGAGGAAAAACAAGCCCGCCGTCGCGCGCAGCCATATCCGTATGCGTGCCGATCAATTTGACCTGAGCCGATCCGCGGGCGACGCGGTTTCAAGTGTCTTTCCCTATTCTGGATTCCCGTGTCCTTCTCCAAAATATGGTGTAAACAGAGTGGTCACTATATGATTCGGTGGTGACTTTGTGATATCCCGAAGACGGATCATCTGGTGAGGCCCAAACTTGACTATATCTCAAGTAGTCAACCCAGTGATGTGCACCGTATGATTTGGTGGCGATTTTGTGATGTACGAAAGATCATTTAGTGGTGATGTGCCTCGATTGTGTGTAGAATTGGTCAAGTCATTGGGCTGCACCATATGATCCTGTGGCGACTTCTTGGCAATAGGCAAATCATTTGGTGAGGTATATTCTCTTCTAAACATTGGAAAACTGACCTATATAGAATCATTGTATGATCTGGTGTGACTTCACGATGCCCAATGGATCATTCGGTAATGTTTGTGTGTGCGGACCTTTTTCAATGGCTAGCAAGGCCTTCTCACCCTATATATGTGCCTTCTCTACCTTATTTAATCTACTTTTTTGCTTCAATTGTGAGACACATATAGAGGGATTTTGTGAATGTGAGAGCCATCCATGTTTAGATTGCCAATTGTGAGAATGTGCTTTTTATTTGGATCTGGTGTTCTTGGTTTGGTTTTCATTGAGGTGTTGTTGAAGATTTTAACCACAAACCAAACGCATGGAGTATCTATATAGTGCAGGAAACTGTGAACGGAGGACCTAGCAACCATTGTGGCACTCTTTTTGCTCACAAAGATCCTTCGACATTGTTCATCTAATAATCGTTAAGTAGTACATTTAAACACCATTTAAATACTACATGGTGGGATGATGTTTCATTTAATCGGTCATTTTATATGTTTAAATGGGCTTTTGCTAGTTTAAATTGTTATTTAGTTTTAATAATGGCTAAACAATAGGTGACTAACTATTTAGCATTTGGTGTTTATGAATGAAAACAAAGACGTCACCCACCGCCGAGTTAAAATTTGAATTCAGGTTGGCTATTTGATAGCTAATGGGCTAGAGGAAGACCCCTTTGGCAATGGTTTGTCACCGGTAGTGGTGGCTTGTGGGCAGAATTGTGAAACACTATGATGGAGCTATGGACACTATTTGGGTCACCTAACCTATATGCCCGTATAAAATTTGACAAATCCTATATAAATTCACAGTTTACTAATAGATTAGACCATGATTGTTTTAGCTTTTTGCCGGCTTCTGAGCAAATGAACTAAAAGTTGAAAAGCATGCTAAGAGAAGCTTCTGTGGCTTTTGGTGTGTTGAGAAACTAAAAATTTCCTATAAAAGTCAATAGCGAAAAACAAATAGCTAGCCATAAGACAAAAACCAAAAAGCTGGCATTTTAGCCAAAAGTCCAAAAGTTGTAGTTCAAACAAATAGGCTCTTAACTAATGATTAGTGGCTAACCATAGTGATTCCATGGCCCACCTTTGCCCAAGGAACGTTAATGGCCATGGCGATATGTGATCAAATGTTAAGTTGGAGGAGGTAAGGGCTTCTCCAATAGAAAGGAGAAGTGATGGATTGTCTGTCATGGTGTCTCAATGAATCGACCCAACGACTATAGCAAGCAAAACATGACGGAGAGAGAGGAGGAGAATCAATTCATGTTTTACCGTCGACTCTTGATGAATAAAAATGAATTTGGCCCATCGGCTAGGTTGTGTTGCCTATGAGTTGAGCGATGGTGGATTGTGCCGTCTTAGGGGGGTGGGTAGTAGGTGCGACGGTCGGGGGCCATGTTACAGCAGGGCCCATGAGTATATGTATGCATATAGTTCTTAGTATATATATTTGACATTGAAATAAAAATTTAAAGGTCTATACACTTAGCACAATCAATCGGGAATTAGCTTGTCATTGCTTCCTATTCTGATATTTGGCTATTCCCCGATCGCTTTCAACATATGTCGTAAGTTAACTCTTATCAGTAGTATTATATATTTTAGTTGTCATATTAGTGCTTGTTTGGCATGAGGAATCGAAGCACTTGGGGAGGAGTGACAGATTGTAGCTCCTCCAATCTTCGGAGGGTCCCTTGCGACTTCCCCGGGCTAAGAAAGCACGTGCCAATTTTCCTTGGGCCAATCTGCTGCGCTCTTTGGAAGTGCACCCACTCAGGGACAGAAGCTCGCTTCCCTTCCTTTTCCACGCTGAAGAAAACCACAAGTCAGGACAACATGAGCGTTTCCGTGATCGGTCGCGCTCGCATAGCTGCACACTAGCGAGGCGCCGAGGCCGCCGCCACCCCGGCATCCGTACGCCGCTGCCCCGACATCCTGCCATCTCGCTGTCGCTCGGTCTCTGATGTGCGTGCGATGCGGGTCTCGCTCGGCCGCTCCTCCACCGCTGCTACCTCGCTCATCTGCCACTGCCATCTCGCTCCTCTATGTTGTCGCTATCTCCATCGCCATTGCCATCCATCTCAAAGGCTAGTGCACCTCATCTCCTTCGTTGTAGTAGTTTCTCAATCCGCTAGGGTTTGACCCTCATCAAGATCATGGAGTTGGATTAGCAATTGGGGGTGACGGCAAGGCGCCACAGGAGCAATGAGGAAAAGGAGAGGTGAGTGCCCGGCTGAAAGGTCCTTGTTTGGTTTTGGTTTTGGTAATTGAGTGACAACCTAGGTGGACTAATTGTGTTTATGTGAGATACACAGGTAATTAGTCCATAGGTACATGTGTGTGAGCAACATATGCCATGAAGGTGAAAATGGCTTAGAGATGTTGCAAAGCTCACACATGTGATGATGAAGGAGCTTAACGCACATGAGACATGACATTGAGTCATGTGATCAAGGTGGAGAAGATCAAGACAAGACTTGGCTTGATGGACCGGTTGCAAGCGTGAAGGGCAAGTCGAAGGCTTTGGAGTGATGGACTGCGTGGCGGTGAAGCTTGAGCAAGACTTGGCGCCGATGGACGATGGCAACGGTGAAGGGCAAGTGAAGTCAAGATCGATGAACCAATATGATCACGTGATGATATGAAGTGGATCATATCATTGTTGATCGTGTTGGTGCATGTGTTGCATCGACATTGGAGGAGATGGAATGGAATGCGCAAGGCAAAGGTATAATCTAGGGCATTTC